CAGTAGTGGTAGAGGTGATACAGTAGTGGTAGAGGTGATACAGTAGTGGTAGAGTTGATACAGTAGTAGTAGTAGTAGTAGTAGTAGTAGAGGTGCTACAGTAGTGGTAGAGGTGATACAGTAGTAGTAGAGGTGATACAGTAGTGGTAGTAGTAGAGGTGATGCAGTAGTGGTAGAGGTGATACAGTAGTAGTAGTAGTAGAGGTGATACAGTAGTGGTAGAGGTGATACAATAGTAGTAGAGGTGATGCAGTAGTAGTAGAGGTGATGCAGTAGTGGTAGAGGTGATACAATAGTGGTAGAGGTGATACAGTAGTAGTAGTAGTAGTAGTAGTAGTAGTAGTAGTAGTAATAGAGGTGATACAGTAGTGGTAGAGGTGATACAGTAGTAGTAGAGGTGATACAGTAGTGGTAGTAGTAGAGGTGATGCAGTAGTGGTAGAGGTGATACAGTAGTAGTAGTAGTAGAGGTGATACAGTAGTGGTAGTAGTAGAGGTGATACAGTAGTAGTAGAGGTGATACAGTAGTGGTAGTAGTAGAGGTGATGCAGTAGTAGTAGAGGTGATACAGTTGTGGTAGAGGTGATACAGAAGTAGTAGTAGTAGAGGTGATACAGTAGTAGTAGTAGTAGTAGTAGAGGTCATACAGTAGTGGTAGAGGTGATACGGTAGTGGTAGAGGTGATACATACACACACACACACACACACAAGACACACACACACACAGACACACACACTCACCTCCTCTCCGCCACACAGACACACACACACACAGACACACTCACACACACACACACAGACACACACACTCACCTCCTCTCCGCCACACAGACACACACACACACAAACACACTCACACACAGACACACAGACACACACACTCACCTTCTCTCCGCCACACAGACACACACACACACACACACAGACACATACACACACACACACTCACCTCCGCTCCGCCACACTGAGGACATACACACACACACACACTCACACACACACAGACACACACACACACAGACACACACACACAGACACACACACACACACAGACACACACACACACACACACACCACACTCACCTCCTCTCGGCCACACTGGGGACATACGCTGTGTTGTAGTCACTGTAGACAAACACAAACAGTTCAGTTTCCTCGGAGAAAGTTTTGGGCCACATGCAACACAAATAGGTCCTAGTGCCCAAACTAACAGGTCTTTTTTGAGAGACAGACTAGGACGACAGATGTTTGACGGTAAAATAGGAGCAAACCACATCAGAGCGCCTGCCAGCCACCCACGAGGGGGAACAGACAATGTCTGTTACAAAGACAGACACAGACAATGTCTGTTACAAAGACAGACACAGACAATGTCTGTTACAAAGACAGACACAGACAATGTCTCGCACCCTACCTCCACCCCTATCCCACCCCCACCCTACCCCCATTCCACCCTACCCCTATCCCAAAGATGATGATCGCTAACAAAAAGTGAC